TCTCATTCATCCTCTTCTAGATCACTGTTAAAAGAGTTATCCATATCTTCACCTACCTCCTATTCCTAAATAATCCTAAATCCCTACTTTCATTAGTACAGCCATATCAAATGAAGTTTGTCTGCAGTGCAAATGGGTTCTGCTGTGGATAATCATAATCTCCTTAATAAACCAAAACTGTTGTAACCTCATTATGTATTCAGGATGCCATCTCCTGTACTTACCGCTACGCCTGTCTTGAAAAGGAGGTAATGGACCGTCTGTGTCACATCTGCGGCGTGCATTAGGTTGTGATAAGGATTTTTGTGTTTACTGTAGCCAACCTCCAGAGCTTCCACAAAGGACACCAGGGCAGAAATGGGGATCTGATGAAAGCAGCACAGAATTACAAACAAAATAATCACCTTTAATGGCTAGCATTTGGAGGGGATCATTTTGATAAGAGGTCCCAAAGAGCAGTTTGTACTTCACAAATAACATGCTAAAACATCTGAAACAGGCACTCAGGAGAGAGAGTGAATTCAGGTTACTTCCTCAGACTGGCTTTCCCATTCCTGATTACATTATGGATGAATCATTCCCGCACATAAACACACACAAGTAAGTATACTACAAAATTCCATCTGTAAGACACATGGAGTATGAAAAGTAACAGAGAACACTTGATTGATTGCCCCTGGAGAAATATTTCTAATTAGGCCACAAGCATGTCTCTCTTCCCCTCACAACCCACTGGAATATATTTCTGCTTTACTATTCACATTCAAGATTTTCTAATGATACACACCATATAGCAAGTCTGAGATACTCTACTAAGAGGAGTATCATCTATCAGACCTCTGGCTTTTCACAGTGAAATAGAGCCTGCCCATCCTATGGGCTTGCCATGCTTTTCTGACTCCAAGAGTAGAACTGTGCACAATGAACAAAATGCAGTTCAGGGGATTTCTAGAGGAAACTACACAGGTGGTGTCAGCTGCAACATATGCAAGTGGCAACATGAGTTCTCCAGTTTCATCTGCTCAAACGACAAATACCCTAAACGCTCATATTTCCATAGTTAGAGGAGCACTGTTGTTCTCCTTTTGGGTATGTATCAGGGGAGGATGCAGTTCTGACCAGTTACCTTCTTCAAACATTTCTCATCAGGTACAGGTGGTTCCTGAACTATAGGGCCAGAGATTTGCAAACCCTTTCCAGCCAAAGTGAGTGGGAACCCCCAGGGAGTGGAAGTGTCAATGGAGGAAGGGACAGCACAGTATTTGGGTGGGGAGAATGGTCAAGATCTGAGAGCACTCTGCCATCCAAATTTAAGTCTGTTCAAAGCTGGAGGAAAAGATACGCCGCATTTGTATCTGCAAACCTCTGTAACAATCATAGAATCATAGAATAGTTTGGGTTGGAAGGGACTTTTAAAGGTCATCTAGTCCAACCCCCTGCAATGAACAGGGACATCTTCAACTAGATCAGGTTGCTCAGAGCCCCGTCCAACCTGATCTGGAATGTTTCCAGGGAGGGGGCATCCACCACCTCTCTGGGAAACCTGTTTGAGTGTTTCACCACCCTCATCGTAAAAAATTTCCTCCTTATACCTAGTCTAAATCTACCCCCCTTTAGTTTAAAACCATTACCCTTTGTCCTATGCAACAAAGCCTTACCAAAAATTTGTCCCCATCTTTCTTATAAGCCCCCTTTAAGTACTGAAAGGTCTCCCCAGAGCCTTCTCTTCTCCAGGCTGAACAACCCCAACTCTCTCAGCCTTTCCTCATAGGAGAGCTGTTTCATCCCTCTGATCATTTTCATGGCCCTCCTCTGGACCTGCTCCAACAGGTCCACGTCTTTCTTGTGCTGAGGACTCCAGAGCTGGACGCAGTACTCCAGGTGGGGTCTCACCAGAGTGGAGTAGAGGGGCAGAATCACCTCCCTCAACCTGCTGGCCACGCTTCTTTTGACGAATTTGAATTTGAATTCAAGCTCTCGTTTTTTGCCTGCACGCATGAGAGTCCTATGAATCTCAGGAGAATGACACCATCATTCCCACAGGATCAAATGTAATATTTCCCATGGATTTCATGGGGAAGCCTGTTTGGAATCCCACCTACTTCATGGTGTCCCATTGCAATTAAAAGTACTACTTAAATAACATTTGGTCTTGCTTACTGGGGAAAGTGCAGTGTCCATGAAGCCTTCAAATAGCGCTAAAATTGCATTTTTAATGGAACAAAGCAGGATGAGAGGGAAGTTGAACAAAATCCAAGACGGAAGAAGAGACCCATCTTCTAACTACTGACCTTGAAACGGTTGATCAGATCATAGCGTGTGAGAAGTTCATAGAAAATGAATTTCAGTGCATGATCTCCACTGGCATCATTTAGTGCAAATACATCAAAGGACCACTTGTCTACATTCTGCAAGAGTGGGGAGAAAAGGCAGTTAATACGGTCATCCCTTTTACAATGATAGTTCAATTTCTATCACTTTGCATCTACAAATGGAGAATTAGAGTGGTGATGTAAGCGTATAGCTTTTTTTTTAACTTCTTCAATTCCATTTAACCAATGCAGAGTCTAATTTACTCATCAGTATTGTATGACGTGTTTAAGAAGCTTCCATTACGAACACGTACGCTGTTTGTTTATTCTAAACATGGCAATTCTCCACACCAGAATTTAATCAGCAAAGGCCGAATCCAAAAACATAAGAATCCTGGTTTGTTTTAGTACCTGAAACATTAGGATGGCCCTATTGTGGCTGATTTTACCCTTCTCTGTCCCCTACCCACGTGCTATGCCTATGAAAAACAATATTAACTTTGAAGGAAACAGGAATAATGAAGATATGCTTTTTAATGACATTAAAGCCTCTGGATTTTGCTGTCCATATAGAGTTCTTACGACTTTGTATTGTGAGCAAAGCACTCCAATACTTCATTCATGCTTAAAACCAAATAAGGTGATATGTTTTTTGCAGTAAAAATAATGCAGGCACCTGTGGTCATATTTTTATCATTTGCTGTTCAATCAACCAAAAAAATAACAACTAACTAGAAGAACTATCTTGCTAGATCAAAGAGCAACTTAGTTCCTTCTGATTTTAATATTAATCCTGAATTGTGATTATTGCAGCTTAAACTGCTCAAAGACAGCATGACCCTAATTTTCCTTTTTTTTTTTTTTAAAGATAAGTGAGTCCACTAGGGCTTTCAGAAAACTACAGAGCAGAACAAACAGTAATGTTACATTAAGTGCTAACAACGATATAAAAAACAACCTTTATAACAGAAGAGTAAATATCTAATTCCAGTTAGGAAAGTTCCAGTCAGCTGTAAATGATATATTAATGCTGCAGGGTGGTCAGTCAAGAGATTGAGAAGGGAAAGTTCACTTCCCAGCTCATAAAGCTAAAGTATAAGGTTTAAACCTTCCTGCAGAAGGTTGAGTTCAAATCTCAACTCTTAGGGAAGGCCGTGGGAGCTGACAGCACTCATTATCTAGCAAGATAAAGCTCCTTGATCTCAGAACTGGATGTTCCTGAAACCCTATGAACCTTTCCTTCCTCCTCCTAGCAACTAAGAGGAAAGGTGCAGAAGGAGTTACAGCTAGAAGAATGATATACAGATCAACCACACAGCTGCATGCATTGAGGACCAGCTCTCAATCTTTCTTGCCTGCTGAGAACTTTGATGTACTTCCCACAGGGATTTATCCAAATGACTCTCCTTAAATCACATATTAAAGATTGACATCTGTACACTGAAGTTTCCCTTCACTTTCAAGCTGTTGCAGTTACCTCCCATTTCCTTGTGGCACTTTCACCAAGAAAGAAAGATGACTACATTTCACACATGCATGTGCACAGCTGCTCTCAGCGCAAGAAATGCGGGTTGGCTAGACATAATGTTGAGTACTGTTAAAGATTAGAGTCCATCTAAAAATCTGCCATCTTTTTTAGCAATACTAAAAATGCTAAATTACAATTATCTACCGAGCTCTTAAAGCCCAGTCCACCTTTGTTGTTTGTTGTCACGGTCATGTTCCAGGTAAGGACCTGACTTCAAGTCAAATGCAAAGGACAGTGACCTTTAACCACCTTGTGGTCAGTCACCCATACATCAGCATAGCTACAGGACTTCTTATGTTCTGAACGAGACCAGAACATAATGGTATTTTGGTACCGGCCCTCTCCAGCATGGGCTGATCCTGATAACCTTGCTACTTGCATACTGCTGATTACACAGAGCTGAGTATGCCACTTGTGGAAGTACAATCCACGGAGAGGCTAATTAGTGAGTGAATATCAAGGACACTGAAGATTCAGCTCAGCTTTCACCTATCCCAGTAAATCACTTGCTTGCCAAGCAGTTGATTTTACAAGCTGTGTGGAGCCCACACATTAAAGGCAGGGTCAAGCTTCTCCAGAGATGGTTTGTGGCCCAAGTCACAGAAGAGCAATCATAAATTGCAGCTTTTCAACACTTTCAGTAGGCTTTGGAGAGGAAGAACAACGAAGAGAGGAAAAAGTTGCACCAAGAAAACATGTTTTGAAGCCCTTGAACAAACTTAGAGGATGGGCAAGAAAAATAATGCCCAAAGCATCCACTCAGTCGATTTGAAGTATTTTCCTGTTTTTTGAGTGTTTTTATTTTGTAATCACTTATCTCAATGAAGCAAATTAATTTAACACTTGCATGTATATAATAATTTACTTTTGAAAATTACATTTCAATTACATTGAAAATAATGTCTCAACTATGCTGAAATTTAATTCACTGTAAGGCAATCTTATCTTGCTGGAATAAAAGGGGTTTGTTCCTTTATATATTTTTCCTGTAGTTAGTGTTGTGCTCTTGCAGCAGATAAAATTTACCAAATTGTGAAATTGCAGAATAGTACATCAGAATTGTTCTTTTGCACGAAAGAATGTTTAACCACATAGATGGTAAGTTTCACAGTAGAGCTATTTAGATTTTACTGAGGGAGAAATCCTTGCTCTTGTCAAGTCAACAGAAGTTTTGCTATTGACAATAATGACAGCAGCATTTTCCCCTGAATAACCAAAGGAAAAATCCTCTTGCCAGAAGCATGAAAGTGTCACAGATGGCTTAGAGGCTTGCAGAAACATCACTTACGCTTTAAAATTAGTGGATTTTATGACCTTAAAAAACAATTTAACATAGAAGTGACCCCTATATTGGGGAGAGATCTAAAGGGAGGTAGAACTTCATGGATGTCTTGTGATGGAGGAGAAAAAATGTTTCTCCTCCCTAAGGAGAGCAGGAGAAGTGAGGGATGGGAGGCTTTCTGTGCTACACATGTGTCCAGGTCACTGGCCCTGTAGCCTCAGCTGAAGTGTCGTAAGGTGCTCTAATCCTACATATACCCACTGTGGTGTAACTGCAAATAGATCCAAGGTGTCTTACTTCTCAGTCCTGTGTCCTTATTACTTGGCCATTGCTCCACTGCCTGGGGAACCTAGAGATGAAGTGAAACACCAGTTCTTCCTAAATGCTCAGTTTCCTGCCCTGCTGTCTGTTCTTAACCTCGGAGACTTGATTTGTTTTATAAGCCAACAGGCAGATTCAGGGATAGATGTTATTCTGCTCAACGTTACTGAAAGGCCTGACATTTTTGTAGCCACAGACAAGCAGAAGTCTATACTGCAGACCTTCTAAGTGACTACAGGTTCTGTGCTCATTACCTGTATATTAGCTAGCCCAGAAAGTATTGCCATGACAGCACAGGCATCAGAAAAGGCTGAAAAATTCACTTCCATGATACCAAGTATAAAAGAACACTGATATGGTTCTCTCTATTGGAGTAATGTAGCCAAGGTTGACGTACTCTGCAGATAAGCTAGACCTTCAGTAGAAGTACCCTGTGAATAGATTCAGTAGGCAAAAGACGACCTTGAAACTTTGTATCTTGGAGTAGAACAGATAAGGAAGCTATGCTGAAATAAGCTAGTTTGTGTAAGCAAAATGCGCAACCGAGCCAAAGAACAAACTGCATCCGCGAAGACTGAGTTCAACTAGTGGACATGGTGAGGAAGACTATTGACGACCACCAGAGGACCCTGAAAGACCACCAATGGACATAAGAGTGCATGCGTCAAAGACTTTTACATATGTTAATGAGTTCCAGGAAATAACATGAATATGTTAATCACTTCTTGGAAATCTAATGAATATGTATATTCTAATTGTATATAACTCCTATAGTTGAGCAGGTCAGTGCGCACACTAGGTGGAGAGATCCCCCGTGCACCCAGTGCCGCAATAAAGAATGCCTGCTTTCTAAAACTCCAAATTGAGTCTTACAGAGTTTTTAATTTGCTGACTTATGGTTAATATCCAAAGCAGGTTAACTACTTCAGCAGCTAGTTAGTATGAAGTTCTGTCTCCAGCACTACACTGCTGAACAGCAGATCACCACAATTTACTGGGTAAACTAACATACTTACTTATTCAAACATGTCTGTATGAATGGTATGCATGGCCACTATTCAAATGAGAGACAAGGCTGATTGTCCCTTTTGTGGCAACAGGTCTTACATCATCACGCCCACGTCATGCAGAAAGGCAACAGGCTACTGTAGTAGAAAAATCGGTATCCAATATAGAGAGGGATGCTGTGCAATCAATTCACAAAGTTGTCTAACTTCTCATCCACTGAAAAAGTGAGAGAGATTATACACCTAGGACTTGCACTGCTACCACTCCATCTGCATTTTTTGCAGAAGCTGCAGTATTTCATTGTTTTATTAAGACCAACCTCATTTTGCCAAGCTGATTCCGCAGCTTTGGGCTACTCAGTGCAGACATCCTGTTGGCCATGGCAGCAAAAAGGAAAGCACATAGTTCAAAAATAAGCTAGTTTTGACTCTATGTCATCTCAATCCTTGTCCTTATTACCATGGCTCTGAGGGGAATGTTGATTATGGCAATCCAGAACAGCTGAAGAGACGTGTGTGGTACACTCCTACACACTTTTGCATGCCTACACCATCAGCTCATTTTACAGAGCACACCAAGTAGTCAGGTAGTTGTAAGGTTTTTTTACTTGGCTTTACTGGACTGAAGCAAGCAACAAAATGTACTGTTTTCCATTAAGGAGATGAGACTGAGAAATTTAAGATGAAGTATTATTTCAAAGACAGAAGACTTCCTCAAAACAAGTAACTCCCATTTCAACCACATCCACTACCGACCCCAAGGCCATCCAGGCAAAGACATGTTCTCAAAATAGTTCTGGAAAAAAATACGCCCTAGAGTTCACAGTGGCTAAGCAGGCGTTATTTCACCCTGAGCAAAATTAGTCAATGCCTTTGTTGTTATTGATGTGTTTTAACCTACTCTACCATGATCAATTCTCTTTATGACCCTTAATCATTTAGAAACATACAAAGAGGAGAGGGATTCTGTACAGTTTAAGTCAGTTGAGGGTAGCTGATGGGTCTTGCATTGGTTTGTTACTGCTAGGAAATCAGAAGAAGAGGTCCCGTTATAAATATGTTCCCTCATAAGCTGGCTATGGGGTGTAGTTCTAAAAGAACAAAGACTTTAGATTTCATTTGGAGGAGTGAAGCTAACACTTGTCAACCTGCAGCTGGAAAAAGGTGAGGATGGATGCTTTGATTCTGTACATGAAAGGCATGTTTGATCATTCTTCTTGCATTCAATGGGCCTTCTGCAATTCCTCCACATCTTTTGATGAGTTGTACTATCCGAAACAAAAAGGATTCAGTACCCTAACTGTAGGTCTTTCCAGTGTGGAGTAGAGCAGAAGGATCGCTTCATGAGCTTTACATGTAATGTCCCTGTGTATTGCCCCATTGTATCACCTTTTGTCACCATTGCATGGCATGGTTGAATCACATGCAACATGTAATCTGCAAAGCTGCTATGTAGGCAGTTGGTTGCTAACTTGTGTTTGTAGTCTTGATAATTCCTGCCTAAATCAAGAACCTTGCAATTGTCCCATGGATAGAACCTTATTTTTTTCAGACTACTTCTGACTAATCAGTTTTCCTCTGAAACCTCAAAACTCATAAAAGGGTCATTATTCCTAACCTGATTATCACCTTGAAGAGCTGAAGCTGAGCAATATAAGAAATTCCGTTCTCTCACAGCAATCCTTTTCCTTCTCCACCTCTCTCCATCTGTGTTTTCTTTCTTCCCTGTGGGAGGTTGTGACTGATTCCAGCATGTTACTAGGTCCTCAGTTTAATCACCGTAATCTAGAACAGAGCTGTAACCTTCACAGCCTGAAAATGGCCGCAGCCTTGAACTCTATTCTTTCCTTTATTGAAAGGACATTCCCTTAGGCCAGTAAATGATTAATGTATGTGAAGGAAACTAAATGTCAGAGAGAAGGAAAGGGCAAGTACTAAGACCCCCTTACCAAGTCAAATATCACAGTGTTATCCTGATGCTTTGTACAGACACGCCCCCCAACACCTATTTATTGGTATTACCTTTAGCACTCCAATTACAGCTGGTGGGTAGCTCAAACCGACCATATTTGAAGTCCGTCTGTACATTCTACCAAGATAAAATAGATAAGGCAACACATAAATAGAATTAAACAAAACAAAACAAAACAAACAAAAAAAACCCCATAAAGCAACAGACCATTACAGGAGACCTTATTTAGCCCAGGAAACCCTAACTGCAATTTGGTTTTTTTCTTCCTTCTTGTTCCTAACTTGCACAATATTCTCTATACCATTCTTACTGTATAGCCTAACTTGAGACTATACACTTCCCAGTATCTCATAGCTTGGTTACCTGGCAGGACATCACAGAGAATCTGCCAATATCAGGTCTTCATCAGAGGGAAAGGCTACGCTCAAATAAACAAGATGTTCCCCATTTTCTACTGCATATGACCATACTGCTCTTTCAGTTCCCTTAGTCCTTGCTGGTCCACATGCAAGCTAATTCTGAATGTACTTCAGAAATCATTTGTTGTCTGCAATGAATCAGCTCCAGTTTGGTACAGCTGTTACTTTTGTCTGCATTATTTTAAGATTGGTATAAAATCTTTTGGGTGTTCGCCATGTGTGTGTGTTTGAGGGAGAGAGAGAGAAAGAATAAGGCAATAATGAACATCTGCAACCATACCAAATAAAGCACCGAAGTATGTACCAGATTTTAAACTTGTTTTCAGGCCACACTGTGTTTAACAGGCTTGGTGAATGCAGAAGCACTGTCAGAGCTAAAATGCCTTTCCGCATGTCACCCTTTTTTGCACTTAAGCAATGTAGGACTAAAATGAGATGATGGAAAGCTCTCTTCTCTCATCTGAAATGATCCCGTGTGAAGTCTTCCTTCACTTCCCTTTTTCTTTGTCATGTTCTGCACTCAGACCTGAAAAAAGTCAGCCCCCTTTGGAGAATTAAATTCACCCATTCCCCAAATTACACAATATCTTACCCCCTCCTCCCTCCAGTCAGGAGCCCCATAGCCTTCTCTTAAGTGACAATTCAGGCAGAGTCCCTCTCCCTTAGCTCAGGAGAGCCACAACCCTCCTCTGGTGCCATATCATATCTGAACACTTCCTTCTGGGGGCCACAGTGATTCAGATCAGCTGGAAAACAGCCTCCTGCAGCCAGCTCTCTGTAGTTCATTTACCTCCTTGTTGAGCAAGTTAATTCACAAATAGCCTGTCAAACCTAGGAGAAACCTGTTCCAAGGAGAAATGACAGGTTTAGTCTTACCACAATTTGCTGCCACTCTTAACACATGTACTTTGGTACACGGATAAAAAAATCGGCTACAGACATGCCGGAGGACGCTTCTGTGTGTCTGTGTGGCTTGTGGTCCATTGTCTGGTACCTCCAACCTCCTGCACAGAGGGCTGGTAGGCTGTCACTGTGATTCTGATGAACAGTGAAAGGTGCTCTGCTCTTCCATTCCTGACTTGAGGTTTGCTGTAGAGACCTGGGACCTGCTGTCTTTCATGCTGCCTAAAGTCTGCTGACAGTTTCACATGTGACAGCCCTCCTTCTAGCTTGAAAGAAGAATGTCAGCAAAGAGTGTTTACTTGTTAAGAAAAGGTAAGATTGGAAGTGAGTCCAAATTGAAATGACTAAATGTTTTAAAGGGTTCAGAAAGTGAAATCAGTTTTAGCAGTAGGTTCTGATACAAATCACAACAGAGAAGGCTGAGAGGAGTCAATGGGTTTTTGAAATCCTCCCTGAGCTCCAAAGTTTTCACATCAGTCTTCATCTATAGTTCATTCCAGTAATACTATGATACAGGATTTTCTTTGGTTTCTTAGCAGTTCTTCATAAGAAATACTAGACCACAGAGGAAAACAGAGGCAAGGGAGGGCTTGGTCTGGGCTGACTGAATTTTAAAAGCTGTCACTCTTGACCTAATGCTATGCAGAGGTACATATTCTCTGTCAAAATTATTCCAACTGTGCTATTACATCTGTATTAAGCTAAGAACAGATCAGTATGTGCTGTTTCAGGTTGCAATCTATTACTTAATCCCAGGTTTTGAGGTGCTACCCAGATCTGTGTAGAAACATCATTAGAAGCATATTAAAGTATTCTTCATTCAACACTACAGGTGCAATCTGCGGTACCTGGGCAGTTACTAGAACGAAGTAATTACATGCCCCTTTACCTTTCCACAAATATCCCAGCTTGTACTGCATGGACAATACTCCTGAACCGGGGTTTTTCTTCTGTTCTTTTGAGCATCATCCCCATTTGCCGCGTGAAGGTAGAAGCCAACCAGTCCCGGACCTCTGAGGGCACAGAGTCAGACTGGATGTCACTGAGCTCATCTTCTGTGTCCAGTAAACGCCTAGAAGGGGGAGGAAAAAGATAGGTAAACAGACTCCCTTGGAGAGCATTGCAACATTATTAACAAAAAAGAAACTCTCACATATTCTAATTAAAGCAGTTGTTAAAAGTCTTTGGTTCGTCAGCCCTAATGAAACACAATTGTACAAGTCTTCAACAGATTGTTTATTCTCTTGTGTAGTTAAATGTCAGATTGTGAAGCTCACTACTAGGCCGACAAATAAGAAGTATCAGCCTTCTGAAGCACAACTATGTAATCATCCACTGACTTCTCATCTTCAGCTCATCAATATTCCTGACCTTTCTGCCCTTCAGAGCTTATTTACGGTCATGTCTAACTTCCCAGTTACTATCATACAGTCTTCTTCTTTCCCATTCTGGTCATCTGAGGTGACTCTACAAGTGCATTTAGCACTGGGGAAATGGCATGTAACAGAGCGGGGAACTCCTCTGCAATGTCTTACCAGTCTACCGCTACCATGACCTGGAGTAAAAATTTTTTTAATTTCAAAGACTTGATACAAGCGAAAAGATTTAACACTATTCAAAAGGAATAGAGGAGTAGGAATTTAGAAACTTTCAGAAAAAGTGGGACACAATTATTATGAAAACATTTCTCCAAGAGAATATATATTAAATTTATGATTGCTTTTGATCTCCTCCCCTGCCCCAGGAAACTTAAAGCAGCTTTTAGACCAAGGATTGAAGATCTGCTTTACAGAGACTACAATATTTTAATGATTAAAAACATAATGTCTGTGAGTAATAAATCTTGGCTAAAACAAATTTCCCAACTGATGTGTAAATTACAATTTTGTGTCGCTGGTACTAGACATAACAAGAGTGCTGAGGTCTGTAGTTAACTCACCTAGTTTCGTCAATGTATACTGATTCAAGAACAGTCGCAGCATATTCCAAATTCTTCTTTAGGTCTACAACTGAAGCTTCCCCTCTCTCCAACTGCTTCACCAAAGACCGCAGCCTAGAGAAAAGGAAAACAGAAATCTGATTAGTACAAAGAGAAATAGGTTTGAGAGTGAGTGTCAGTTCAAAACTGGATCCAGCATGAGACCTAGCATACGTGATTGGCAGGTGAAAACTTTTGGATGTCTACAAGGTTCTTTAAGCCAAATACAAGAAATCAACAAAAATCACTTTTCAAAGATCAGTCACAATGATGCCAGGCAAACATCACATTATATTTAGGCTCAAATAAGTCAGCGAGTTATGACTGTCCCCTACTCATACTGAAATAAGTTAAAATAGAAATCACTTGGAATTTAACACAGGAGCTAGGAAAGGGCAATTTCATTCCAGCCATAAGAAAGGAATTAATTTCTTGAGTAGCATCTGTTGACAAATGTCAGCCATTTATGATGATTGGTGTACACTTATGCAAAACTGTATTGGAGTATATTTAGAAATACTGTTGCAGAAATACTATACAAGGTTAGGAAATGCTATGATTTTCATTAGGTCAGGAAGGTCACCCTTAGACTATCCCATCTATATTAAAAAGAACTCATGGAAGTTTTTTTATTAGGTTTTTTTTATTATTTGGGGGGGCAACAGACTTTCTGAAAACAAAAATTTGTGTAGAAAGTGTCTCCTGTGTCACAGACAATTAATATACTTGTGCAAATTTCTTTTGTCTTTTCCTCTCCTTCACTCTACTTTCCATGGCAAATTAGAAAAACAAAAAAGGGAAGAAAGAGGAGAAGAAAATGTAAATTTAAAGAGCAAAATGAAATATTTTCAACAATCCAAGAACATACATGCTTACAATTAGAAGAAGAAAATTATCATTCCTTTAAAAGGACAATGGGATAAAGATTTGACATGTTAAAACGTTTTTGTGAATGTCTTCATCCTTGTTAAACAGCAGTTAAATAAACATTCAAATATACATTTAACAGTGTAGCAGAAATCACAAGTTGTTAATCTGTACTGTTCAAGATGTAAAAATGTAGAGGAGTAGTCATGTCATCTAAAATTTGTCTTCTACTTAGGAGACTACTCTTCCTCAGCTTTTTCTATAGTCCATGGAGAAAAATAACCTTTTCCACAAGGTCATTCAGACTTAGAGCCCCATATAGGTGCCTGCTCTCACTTTATTGACCGTAGTGGGAGCCCAACCTCCTACAGTAGACATGTACATGAAGTTCTTAAAATGAAGTGAGTATCTGTATTCCCTTGCTATCACAATGCCCCTGTGGCATCAGTGCTTTCAGGAGAAATCAAGTCTCCGTGGGGCTGTATTTCATGGCAGAGCTGAGGAGCAGTCAGTCTGCCTGTGTGCACTGCACCAACAGCTCTTTCCAGCTGGGTTTCCTTCCCCCACCTTTCCCCACATAAACAGTGAGGCTGTAGAGAACAAAAATCATAAAAAATATCGATTGTTCCTCTGGCTAGGTCACATAAATGCCAATCCTACTGACAGCAGTACTGCTGACACACAGCTACGTATTTAACTTTACAAAGAATTTTGAGCAAGAGGTGGACCCTCCATCTCCAGGAGGATTAACTCATCCACTTGTCGGCAGTCAAAACCCAAAAGTATTCTTCAATACTTCATTCCTGATGTGAGAATGGAGATGGGAAGGTCAGTGATGTACAAATACACTGAACACAACTCTTCTCATCTCTAGAAGCCAGGTGGAGAGCATTCAACTATGCCAGCATGTTTCCCTCCAATCCTGGAACCCAGCTCGGGGAATCCATGGAGCAACCTCAGCCCCATGGAAGAAGAAACATGGCTCGGTGCTCCCATACCCCTCTTCTGTGTAACTGCACCACCAGGTGTGAGCAGCAACACGTTGTTTGATGAGCAGAGCTAGAAAAGGTGGTTCCCCACCTTTCAGGTTGATTCCAGCCTTGGGCAGCACACGTGGAAGATGAATTCACCTCCTCCCTAAAGCCAAACCGTTGATATCTCCTACCCATTCCCAGCTTTTCTTGCCAATGCAGGAGGGAAGGAAGAGGAAAAAACCAAAACACCGTTCACGTCCAAACAGTAAGCATTGCTTCATATGCCTCCTCCTTCCTTCATCCTATGTATGGGGAGTCCAGAGATGTGACCCCTTAACTAGTTACCAGAAACATTGTTTGTACACAAGCCACAGGAGTTAATATTGCAGGAGGAACATCATCTTTGGCTCTTCCTGACTTTTATTTCATTGATTTAAGTACCCTGCAGCTCTATGCCACAAGTCATTCAAAATTCATGTTCAATAATAGCATAGTGAGTAACGGTTGCTTCATGGCACCAACATTCATCATCGAAGAAGATTATGCAGAGTACTGCGTGCATCAATCATTTGGAAAAACAGAAGTAGGGTTGTTATAATAAAACCTTGTCACACGATCAGCTGCTCTCATGTGAAAAAAAATTACATTGTCTTTGTCTTACCTTCCATTATCTATAGCTATTTCTGATTCATTGAGTCACAGCAGCTGCTGCCAGTTACCTTTACTAAATAAGAGCCCGGTGATAGTTTGTCTTTAATGCATTCCATGTATCTCTATTTTTTTGAAATAGTCCTAAACGCAATCATAAAGTTAAGGCCAGGCTGTCCCACTGAAGGGCACCCAGGCAAATTTATTAGCTGAAAAATTCTGTTTCAGGGTGGCTGAAGTAATTCCGGAATTCAATCAAATTCACCAAACCATTTTGACTGAAATAAAAACATTACCACAAACTTTTAACATGTTTTATTTCTAGGAGCTTGTATTAAAGCAATGCAAGCAGAGGGCAAGATGCCGACTTCCTATCTTTACCCCATAGACTAGTCATTGCAGCAGGTGAGCAGGGTTCAGTCACATGTACCGTTTCACAGGAAAATGCTGTCTGTCAGGCTACTGACTAAAAGAAACATTCTGATATAACTATCACAATCAATTTAAGGAACGCAGTTCATCATTTACTTTGCTTTTATTGTAACTGTCTGTTTTGTATGAGCAAAATGCTTCTTTCAACCAAAGCATGTTTTGTTCTATTCTGTTTAAAAAAGTTCATTATATACTGATCAAAACCTAAGCTTTCATTGTTTCTTTTTTTCCCCTCCTTTTCCTTTCAAGTTCAGAACTAAAAATTTGCACAGATCTACCAGACCTAGTTCCACTGAGGCCTATGGAGCTAGCTGTAGGAGAAGCAGCCAACTCCTGAGCATAAGGAGATCCCAGGCCAGAAGGGAGGTGTTAACTATTTCTACCATTAAGCTGCCTTAAGATCATGGCACATGCCACAAGTGAGCCAAGCTATAGGTCAGCCAAAAGTTTCTCAGATTACAGTCATCAGCACAGCAGTTACAAAGAACTGGTTCGTCACACAATATTAGCTCTAAATCTAGTTGTTTAATTATATTAAGATACAGCTAATGCCTTTCTTAATGAGATTTCCAAGGGAAGCTATTCCTCCAGTCTGCAAATTCTCTGTGAACATGTGCCAAATATTATGGAAAAAGTCTGAGAACCTTTGTACTATGCACAGTTATTTCACATTTTAGTCCTCGGAATAATCCCTTAACTGCCCAAAGGAAAAGCCTAGTCCTGAGCAATGCTATGCATTTTAACTTCCTCTGACCCCACAGGGAGCTCAAGTAAGTATAAAATCTTGGAAAAGGGCCAATTCCAGAATACGGCCTCCCGCACTGCCCTTCCAAGGAAAATATCTGTATGCACCCACCGTTAAAAACGCCTGAGAGTATCTGCAGATAATCCCACTGAATTCAGCAGAGCAATACATTTGTGTAAAGCAGGCAGGTTGGGTTCTCAGTGAAGGTGAGAGGTTATCCAAAGCATACGCTGTTCCACAGCCCCGCTCCTGCTCTTTTTAATGTTTCCCTAAAATACTATCATAAGATTCAGGGAGATAGAAAGCAAATGTCTAGAAACTGGGCAACTGAACTCAGACCATGAAAGTTACACAGCTCAAAGACCCAAAGCCACTCTAGATTCAAACTGAATAACAGGAAAAAGTGAAGCTGTTTTCAGTGTGTTCTTGAAATGTAAAATTTCTGAGTAACCGCTCCAAACATTCTCCTCTCTGTTATAAATAAAACAGTATCTGTGTACAAATATTTATCTCCTTAGCTAGAGGGCTTGCTTTTATGCTGTCAATTTTTTTTTTTTAAAATAGCATTACATATCACTGCAGAGAAGATTAACACCACCGCAGTCTGGATACCAGTCAGCTTCAATTAACATGCAGAGCACACGTATTGTCTGAATACTTGGGGCAAGTTCCTTCAATCCGTGTAAAGTCTGCAAAGCTGCGTGGCTAGTCTCCGCATTTATTTTCAAAGCTTTATGACTGTGATTCACCACACGTTTTCAACAGTACAACTCAATCTTTTCCTCTGAGAATCATTCTCATACCATTGGGCTGGCTGAGGAAAAAAACTACTTTGAATGCACATTCAAAATTAAAAAAAAAAAAAAAATTCTAATATCATTACATATTACCAAGGATGGAATATTTATCCCTGTTTTACTCTTGATATTAACAGCTAAACAGTTTGATATTGACAGCTGAACCTGATTAATATGTTGTTTCAACCATGATAGCCTACTGACAGGTGAGGTTTGCAGAAAGCAGAGATTTTTTTTTTTATTATAGCTGGGAAAAAAGGGCAAGCTATTGAACACAGCACTGCTAGAGCTGGATAAGTACTCTCTTGAGACAATGTTCTTCCATCGTCACTAATTCTTTGAGATCAAAAGCTATTCACAAGCCTCTGCTAAGTCTGATACAAGTTTCATTAAGAAAGCCTGCAGTGGAATTTCTTATCAAAACTAAGCGCTGTCCACGTAGTGAAAGCCCTCAGCAGAAAGGGGAACTCTGGGCTGAAGTGATTGCCGCTTGGTCCCTTCTAACACATACTGAAATTGGAGATCCCAGAGCTCAGGTGATAGACTGAGGGAATCACCTTTGATAGGTCAGCCCTAAAGAACAGCTCAGTGGGAGAAAGGACTTGTACCCTA